TTTTGGTTCAGGCGAGGTTTGAGGTGATTATGCTTTCTGATACAAAGTTTTGAAAAAATCATCTTAAACCCAGCTGTTGGGTTATTTTTTTTCTCTGTGCCTTATTTGCCTGTTGGAAATGCTGTCTTTAAACTCTGGATTTGTCTGCTTTGGGTATTGAGGAACAGAATTTTCCTACCACACTTCCCAGCTCCATGATTGAGAGGAGCTGCATACTGGAAGTGTGTGTCCCTGGCCATAGTGTGTAAAGGTCCTGTTATGCTGTGTAAGAAGCCTGCAGGGAGCTCAGCCCCACTGATGCATGTGCTGCACCCCTGACAGAGCTGAACCCAAAACAGCACGTTCCTCTGGAGGAGTACGCCGCCAACCTGAAGAGCATGGTGCAGTACCTGAAGTCAGTAGACATTACTGCAGACAAGATTGTTTTGATAACACCCCCACCTCTTCAGGAATCAGCTTGGGAAAAGGCATGTCTTGCCAAAGGTAAAGGAATAATGAGGATGGATGGGATTTCTGGATTTTACCAGTGGAGTGTAAGTGACAGATCCCACGTTGTCAGGTGATTCCCTTCATGTGTGTGCCATATTACTCCATATTACACTGACTTGTTGGAAAAGGGCTGCTGTTTTACTAAACAACTTCTGGATAAGCTCATGGAGTAACTGCCAAGTGACAACAAACATCCTTTCCAAAGTGTTGATTGATCTGTTAATGCATTGAACTGACAGAAGTGGCTGCCCTTGAAGAACGTGGGGTTTGTCAACATGTCCTAGGCAGATTCCATCGTGTCCCAGCAGCTTCCAGAATAAGACAAATAATTGAAGAAATGTTGGCATTGTGGGCCTTAGAAACGTTTTTACTGGGTACAGCAGATTTCACATCTGTTTGGATAAGCAGTAGTGTATCCCAGCCGGGTTTATTTTAAAGTTAAAAAAAAAAAATAATACCAGAGAATATCATATTCTAAGGATGCTAATAAAAGTGCCTGAAAAAGAAGAAAAAGGTAGTTAAATTATTTCCCATTATGTTATTTAAGCTAATTCTAAAATTAGAGACTTAATAGCACCACTTACTTCATGTTACTGAGCTGGTGGAAATTGCCATAATCCCATTGACTCCAGCAGTGGCAGTTTATACCTCGTGAGAGCATGTGCTCTTTTCTGTTGGGACACCTTGTCCAGTTCTTGCACATTTATAAAAAGCTTCTGAGTTAGGTCAGATACAAGTACATGGTACGTAGATAAACAGAGCTGGTACCTTCGTGGCACAGTTTTCTATGATTTAGGTGGTGTTGCATATCCTGAGTTATGTTTTCAGTCAAAGTAATAAAACTTTGAAGATGACCCTAAATTTAAACTGTATGAAATCAGACAACATTATTGTATGATGTTGCATTAGGAGGCTTTGATGTGATGTCATGTGAGCACACCTCAATGCTGCTTATCTCGCTTCCAGCTGTCAAGAAGTATTTATACTGTTAATCTATTTTCCTCTTAAAACTCTCCTTTTTATGGGGTAGGGATGGAGGGAACTTGAATTTACAGCATTGAATTTGCCAGCATGTGAGAGTACTGTCTAGGGATGGAACAAAAGACAGGGTGATCTCAGACCATGGACCACAAATGAAGTGTTGTGGGCACATTGGGCAGCAATATCAGCCCATCTGCCCTCCAGTACCAAGGAGGAGTTCTCTGCCTGTTTCTGGTTTTGTCAGATCTCAGAGCAAAGGAGAGATGGGAAGCAGGAGGATGGTGATCTTCACAGGAGCATTCATCCACCTGCAAAAAGTAGCAAGAGGGCTGCTGCAAGGAGCAGTTGCATGTGGACTCAGACAAAAAGCAGAAGGCAACTTGTAAATAGATTTCCATTTATGTAACTCTGTTTTACCTGCCTTAGCAGGTGTATGAAGAGTTTTAAATCTAAGCACTGCTTTCACCTGAAGCTTGCCGGAAGCTGAGAGCTGTGAGCAGCAGAATTACACTGTCTGCTTGTTGCTGTTGCTTCTCTCTCAACCTGATGCATTTCTTCAAAAGAGACATTTTCAAGTGACTCAGAACCAAAGGGTGCCCTGAAAAAGACCACACAAGCTGTAGCTTCCAGCCCCTGACATTGCTGTGCTTTGGATTTAGTTTGTGATTGGTTGTCTGCTGGTTTAGCACCTGATGCAGATGGTGTGTGCCACAGGAGACTGAAATTGTGCCGTGTCAGTGGCGGGTGCTGGACGTTTTCCTTGTTTCTGCCTGCTAGGTGAGAAGCTGAACCGCTGCAATGCCACCACCGGGCAGTACGCCCAGGCCTGCGTCCAGGTCGCCAGGGAATGCGGCACGGATGTGCTCGACCTCTGGAGCCTGATGCAGAAGAATCAGGTACGATGAAATCAGAAATATTTGAAACTGTCACGAATTGGGAAGTGCATCATTTAGCATAGAGGAACCAGTGGCGCTGCGTTATCACTGAAAAGCTACAAAATACATCCAAATTACACTGTAGGGAAGGACGAAAATAATCCAGAGTGCTTCATAGTTGGCAATGAGAAATAAAGCTGTATGCAACCTGGCCATGGTGCTTGGTTGGCAAATATCCCAAGTACATTATATCTAAATAGCCTTTTCCTTGAACTTGAGCTATGGAATAGTTTAGGTTGGAGGGGGCCTCTGGAGATTTCTTGTCCAACCCACTGTGCAGTGTTGGGCTCATTTCAAGGTCAGATGTGGCTGCACAAGTGTGTTGCTGATGCTTCTGACCAAATACCCAAACTCATCCTTGGGAGACTGCAGACTTTCCCTGTGAGTAAGTAACTCCAGTTTGGACCATGAACATTTTCTCTCCCCTGCTTTCCCCAATGCAATAGGCTGTTGACTTCTGACTGCATCACTTAATCCTATGGTCTTTTACTGATGAATAGCAGTGATTTTGGCCATCAGAACATTCTCTTAATATTTTAACATAAACAGTGAAAAATCAGTATACCAGCTGGCTTTGAAGAATTACTAAAGGCTGTCTCTTTGCAGCTAGCAAATCCACTAATAAATGGTTTTAACCTCACTTGTAGGATTTCTCTTCCTATTTGTCTGATGGTCTTCATTTATCGACAAAAGGCAACAGCTTTCTAGCAGTTCAGCTTTGGTCACGCCTGGAAAACAAACTGTCTGCTCTTCCTTCGCTGCTTCCTTACTGGCGTGACGTGGACCACACGAACCCCGAGGCCAGTCTTCTGTAACACCCACGCCAGACAGAGCCAGCTCCTTGTCCAGCAACGTGCTGCAAACTGTATCCTCAGGGAACAGGGCACTGGGGAGTCCCCAGCAATGCTCTCCTCTGTCCCCTTCTCTTGGTCTGTGGGAGAATAAAGGTGAGACCACTTGGGGTGTGTCCTGCCGTGCTTCTTCATGCTGCTGTTGCCAGGATAGCTGTGGGGATGAGTAACTCCTTCCTTGGAGGATGCAGAGGAAAATGAGTCTCAGCTGTTCCATGGCCGAGGGATAGAGGCTGCCCTGAGCAGTTCCTGCTGAGCTTTGGGGACTGCACTATGATTAATCCCATCTACTTGCTTTAAACACAGAGGAGCTCGGAAGAGGCAGTAGTGTGGAGTTTGTCAAGAGCCACTTGTGTCAATCCAAATTCATTTATTTGGATGTAATACAGCAGGAACAGCAGTTCCCTAAGTTTTAGTGTGGCTTTGGTATTGATAGAGAGTGGTTTGGAGCAGAGCTTTTAAAATTTAACTTAGTCTGGCACCAACAGCAGCTTCTTTATACCCAGCTCTTCTGTATAGGCACAGGTTTCTGACCAGTGCATGTTTTTGAGCAGTATGGAACTGGTGATATGACCTTGGAGAAACTAGAAAAGGTCTGCATCTCTGCTGACAAAGCTGCATTGTATGCCATTTGCCATCAAGTTAAGAAGACCTTTCAAGTGAGTTGTTAAAATAATTTTACAATTCATCTAACACATAAGTACTGCAGACTATGCAGGTTTTGGCCAAGAGAACACGAACTACAGAAGTGCCTTTACAAACAAAAAAACCCATTGTCTGCAACCTAAATGAAATTCAACAAGTATGGAAAAAAATGTTTGGGAAATGATTGTCTAGCAAGCCACATAGCAGCAAAAATGAGGATACAACTAACCACACATAAAAATATCACTGCAAATATAACCCCTCCATAATTCTGGGCTGTATTAACAGTTATGTTGACATGGAACAGGTGTGCTTATTATGCAGGGGGTGAGAGAGTAATGAGAGGCTCTCATGCTGTCCTGCACTGTTAGTGCCATTAGACTCCCCTTGCTTAATTAAATAATTAAGACAAGCTGGCCAAGACCTGTCATCTACTATGTAACAGTGTTATAAACTGAACCATAAGTATTTTTCATGGGCCTGGAGCCAGAGCAGACGCAAGTTTAATATATAAATATTTATGAGTATTAAACAGGACTACCCTTCCTGTAATAAATGCTTACAGAAAATACTGGCTGAACAGCAAAAGGGGTTCCTAGTGGGAAGCTGTGGATCTTCCTGCCTTAGGTGTTATGAACAAACCATGCAAGTACTGCTTTCAGTTTCTGGAATACAGCTCAGGCTGGGGGAGGGATTCAGTGATTTCCAAGGCCTGCTCCAAATCTCTGTTTGCATGCTCCCAAGCACCTGCCACTGCATGGTTTTCACCTGGGATGTAAAGACCTATGTGGTGAGAACATGTACTCACAGATTTGGGAGCTGAACAGGCATCTGAGCACATTCCTCAGGCATTTGATGTCACCATCTGAACTGATGATAATCTGCAGGACACATGGCAGTACCAGCTCCAGCCCGGGCAGGAAGCAGGCAGCCCTCATGGTCCAGGTCTGGCCTCTGCAGCAGCTGAGCTCAGAAAGGAGCAGTCAGGAATCCTGGCTCCTGCCTGGCTGCATGCCAGACCTTTAACCCAGGCTTTGACAACCAGAGAATGGAGATCTTTTAGAAAAGGACTGCATAGAAACAGCTCTTGTTTAACTTATTTTTTTTAATAAAAAAGCTTTTATTTTGTTGGGAATTAAATTAACTCCTCACATGTGTACTTTGCACTGAATCAAAAAAAGAAAACCTGAACAAAAAACAACCCCAAACAAAGTTCAAAACCAGTATATAAAACATAATAGCTAGTCAGACAGGAATACCATAAGGCACACATTCAAGTAACTAGTGTAACAAGTATCCTTGGGTGGGGAGGAGAGGGAGCACTCACACAACTTGGCAGCACAGGTTCAGTTCCTTTCCCTCACATTTAAAAACATGGGCTCACCACAGCCGCACTTCCCTGTGCCTGAGTGCAGGCTTGTAAGAGTTAAATGGTTCTGCCCTTGGCCACGTTCTGTCAGTTCAATCAATAGATTATTGTGGGAGAAAACAGCCGCAGAAGGAAGGTGCTGCTGTACCACCAGGACAGTTGCTCTGTGACTCCACTGTGTCAGTCCATCGGCTGCTAAGCTAAAACAACGCTCATGTGCCAGTCCCAGCTCACCTGACAGAAGACACCATCCAATTATCAGCCTTTTGCATCATGTTTTACTACCTGTGTGAGTATCTGTATTCACAAGATCTCCTCCTTATACTTACCCTGCAAGTTTTAACAAAGGTTTATTTCTTTATTAAATTCACAATTGTTTTTAAACAAATGCCTCCCCTGCAATGGAGTGATTTTTTTCCCATCATTCATGCAGTAGGAGCTTCCAAAGGCCACAGAGACCACAGAAAACTGAGCTCAGTAATTTGAAAATTTCAACAATAGTGTTGCTTATTTTAAAATAACATTTGGAGAAACATTTCTGCACCAAAACTGCTGTAAACAGCAGTTTAAAATGTCATCTGCATGAATTATTTCTTCCTTTAAGCTTCTTTCTCCAGCCAGACACCTGTGACACACAAAACTTAGTGCAGAGTGGGAAGCTCCCAAAAAAAGCCACCAAGACAAGACAGCCTCACCACTGAGGCAGAAGAGTTTCATGCTAGAGGAGCATTTCTCATGCACTGTGTACAGCCAGTCCAGTGTAACAGCCTCTGTGATCCTTTTATTTATACAGAAGCTGGGCATTTTAAGTTTATTCTGATTATGCATTTTACTGAATGCTGCGAGACTGTATTTTTATCTGTTTCATGACTCTTTCTGTTCTCAAGGCATTTGCTTAATCTTTTGGTTACATGTACCTTAAACTGCTAAATCTACTGTATTATGGAACATACTGCAGAGTTCATTTTGGTTTTAAAAGCCCCTTAATTTTGTCTATCAGTGCTGTGAGACTACAAAATATTAAATTATAAAAAAAGGCTGATATACACAATCCAATATCCATCAGGATATTTGGTTTTGCACCACAGGTTGAAGGAAATGTTAAAGGTCAAGGAAGTAGAAAAACAAATCCAAAAAGCTTCAAAAACAAGCCAGTTCTAGTTCGGATTTTCCTTTTTAAAAGATATAATGCTCTAATAAATGTAGTTTAAGGAAGGTCATACACATGACCAGCATCTGCAGTAGGTCACTTCCTTATTCTCCCACTCCCTCACAAAAATATATATACATATATTTATATTTATAGAAATGAAATGGTTTCAGATCCTTATTTTGCAGACACGAGCCATACATTTAGAAGGCAGCAGGACACTAGCACTCTGTTTCTTTGCTGTCCACCCGGTTCTGGCGCTGCAGTTTGAAGGACGAAGCTTTCTCGCTCCTGATGACAGGATGGTCTGTCAAGTCCTCGAAAGATTTGGCGGCAGAGCTGCTGTTTGGGAAAGGGTCCTTCTCAAAGGCGTCCTCGTCGATGTGCGAGTCGGTGCTGGGGTCCTCCTGGATGGTGTCCATGCGCTGGTGGTCCTGCTTGGGCGGCGCGGGCGCGGCGGGCGCGGGCGCCAGGGGCTGCAGCGGCTGGTGCCGGCTCGCGGCCTGCGCCGCGGGGAACGGCTTGATGATGCGAACGGAGGCCGAGTCCAGGCTGCTGAGCATCTCCACGTTCTGCAAAACACAAGCGGCCACGTCACTGGCAAAAGCAACCAGCAGCTAGTCCAGGGACAGCAGCATTTTTAAAGGGAGGAGGCACGTTCTGAGGAGCAGCTGCATTCCTGTGAGAACAGCCTAAAGGCAGCCATGTCCTCCGTGCCACTCCCTAAAGGCAGAAAGGCTGTTCTGTCTCTGCTTCCTGCTCTGTATAAAGCACCACAGAGGACAGCCTCACTGGGAAGATGAGTTGGCCCTTCCTTCCTGGGGCCCAAACTGCTTTGGCAAAGCCTAGGACTGGAAACACAGGCACAGAGCTCATGGCAGGGAAACAGTCCAGGGTACAGCTTATTCCAGTTCTCCAGCCTGGAGAGTTCACGGTTTCTTGTACAAGACCTGCACTCAACACAGGGTCAAACACTGCAGGGATCAGTGTCATCGTACTCAACCCAGATTAAGTTCAAGTCCATTGATGTCTGCTACTATTTCAGGATGGTTTGGAAAATATCCAGAAATCTTTAAGCATAAAAATTCCCCAAGGACCTCAGTAAATGCTAATACTGGGAAGAATGAGATGTTCACCTGCTACCGTTTCCCAACTCTCCATCCTCAGCAGATTCAAAAGACACAAAATCTGTTTGTTAAACTGTTGCTGGTGCAAGGAGAGCATTGGCTATATCTGTGCTCTCTGTCCTGCCTCTGGGATTTTCTCAATTGAATGCAGGTAAGAAGCACAAAGATAACTTTTCTCATGTCACAGCTATGGGGCACTCAAACTAAGATCACCCTCAGTTCTGTCACAGTAGATTACAAAGGCACTCTGCCTCAGTGGTTTCCAACTTCAGTATGCTTCTTCCAAGGGTTATACAAGGAAGAGCTTTGCAAGGCTTTTTTTCCCCTCTCCTAACAGAACAACTTTTCCTTAACTTGAATATTTTAGTTCTTAATAGGAGCTGTATTGTCAAAGCACAGGAAAGGATACCCAAACCTCTATGTCACAAGGTGCCCTGTGCTGGACTGTAATTAAAATTTATCTTGGCACCTTTTTGTTCTTCCCCTCTCCCAGCTCATTATCTGCAAGGTGAGAAGTGCTGCTGATGTGACCCTTGAGCAACTGGAAAGCTGTAGCACATCTGGGTGCTAGAAGCCACCTCCTGCAAACAGCCATTCTGCAGCAAAGACACTGCATTTTGCAGAGATTTTTGAGCCTCATGCTTCAGTGACTCCAGTGGCTGGGAACTAGCAGCCTGTGGTGGTGCTGCCCAGTGTGCTGTGCCGAGGGGATGCCGGACACGGGTGAAGCCCCAGAGGGCTTCCTGCCCCTCTCTGCTGCACCAGAGGGGCTCTGCCAACAAGGCTCAGCTCTGACAGGAAGGAGGAATCAGACCCTGCCATGCTGCAGTGCTTGGTAAGAGTGAACAGAGGCTTGTTCAGAAACCAGCTTCCCCTCTCATGGATTTACCCTCTGCAGCATGGGGCTCTCTCTTACTACTCTTTTATTATTCTGCAGACACCTGAGGTTCAGGTTTTCCAATACACATGGGACAGCATTCTGGCAATTCAGACGTAGACAGCAACTTACACTGGGGCAAAACAGGGACTTTGTGTTCTCCTCATATTGCTTGTCCAATTTCTTGTCCTATTGAAAAACACACAACAAAATAAGAAAGTTAATTTCCCTATGGCAAAGACTCGTTTCTCCTCCAGTGACTCAGCAATTTGTGGGGGTCCCCTACTTCCCATGCCTTCCCATTTACCTCAGGAGTGCTTGTGGGCACAGCATCCCTTTGCTCTAAGCCCACACACCACATGTTCACACTGTAAGTGGCCATGAGCTCACTGACTCTTTATCCATCCACGCAAGATCAACTGAGATCACATCCCACTCTGGGTCTTCTCTCAAAATGTGGGTGTCTTTTCTTCACAGGGCTTTAGAAGACTTTGTTTTTAATGATAAAAATACCAAAATTATACTTGGGTGGAACTCAGAAGGCAGAGAAAGAAAATCTGCCTGGGAAAGAATGGGAAAGGCTCCAGGGAATAGTCATGGGAGCACTGGGTCTGCCAGGGCCTGGCAGAGTTTAGCAAGAGTTTTGCCTACTGAAGGAGCAGTAAGCCTTACATATGCTGGATTTCCCCCCAGGGTTTGCTAAAAGCTTCCCATCATTTCTCCCACAGCCATCTGCCACTTCACATATGAAGGGTGTTCTCACAGCAAAATCCAACAGAGCAGTCATCTCAAAGACAGCTTACTCACCACACAGTGCACAAGGATGCTGAGAGGAATCCAAAACAGTAAGGAGAAGACAAGCACAGAGCCCACTATATTATCCGCTAGGAACTTCCCTGTGGAACCAGTTCAAATCTGTCAGTTACCCACCCAGTACTGCTTCATGAACACACACACACACACATCTATCCCCCCTTCTGCAGCCACTGCTCAGGCAAGTGAAGCCTCAGAATTGCTTGGAGAAGCACAGGCTGCCTACTCTGGAGTAGGTAAAGATAAAACTACACAATTTAAAAATCTGTATCCAGTATGTTAACAATAACAGGTTTTTCTCTGTTGTTCTCTGAAGAGAAATGCTGTGAGGCTCTAATACTGAATGTGGGTTGTTTTGGAACAGCCTATACTGAGCCAGCTAAGCTGCCCCTCTCACTTATACAAGACACACTGTGAGAGTCCATTACCACATTATGATGTAACAGTCATTTGATCTCTACCTGCCTCCACAAACAAAATATTTGGATGCCAAAGATTCAAAAACTGCCTCTATCCAAGCAGGCTAAATAGCTTTATCAGTTACCTAAGAAACAATTTTTTGTCCCTGAAACTTGAGATTGAAAGCTGCAGTTCAGATAATTGCACTGTGCAGGCACAGTGGTGCCATGAGCACACACAGGGCTCATGACACAGCACCAGCTTAACCATGGGTTTTGTCTGGTGCCAGTAATAGAGCAAGACACTGGGGGTGACACCTGGGGTGAGGTGACACCTGCTTGGGTTGCACAGTTGGGATCAAGACCAAGGAGGCCCACTCAGTCACAGGGAGCGACTCAGTACAGGCACAGCTTGAGGTGTGTGACCTCTGGTTTTCTTAAATGACAGAGAAAGGAAGTGTTCCCCTCCCCTTCTGTTGACATTTAAATCCCACTGAGAGGCCCACTTTATACCCTACTGAATCTAGCTGACCTCTAAAGAGACTGACTGTTACCTGCTTTTTTCTAATTGACCTAGTTCTTGGTATTCAGACAAGAGGCTATCACCCCTTTCACAAGCTTGGAAGATGCCTAGGAAAAAAATGGAGTAGAAAAATGCAAAACAATCTCCCATCCTTTCAGCTTTAAAAGGTGCAATCAGTAGTGTCAAACTTCAGGCAAAAATACACTTCGATATACCACAAGCACAGCTACCCTTGCACACGGTGAATAAATCCAGGCAGCTAACTCCCCCCAAGGATTTAAAGGTTCATTCATGTCATGAACTCAAAAATCCCCAAAGGACATGGTTGTGTATCTTACCAAAAGTATTGATGCTGAGTTGGTCTATGAAATCCCAAAATCGTTCAATCACATCCTGTACTTGCTTCTCGCATTTGCCCTGCAAAAGTAACAAAATGATCTTATACTACCAAAGTATTAAGTACTGCCTTCTTGGAGAGGGAGGTACAATGACAGTAATGAAATGAGAACTACAGACACAGCATGACTTCATTTACATTCTGAATACAGAATTACTCTCTTGCCCAATTGCAGCAGTCCATTTTTACTGCCTTTATTTTTATCAAACCAGTTTGAATTCAATTGTGGTCTGAATCAGATCATTTTATTGTTCAGAACATGCAAAATCCACTCCACCTTTGGCCCATGTTAGGGGACATAAAACTGATATTTCTGGAGAGATTTAAACACTGGAAGCCTCAGTTCCCATTATCCACAAAGAAGGCTGCAGCTCTCAGGAGCCCAAGGTTACAGACAAACTCACTCCCAGATTTGGCTGTGCTGGTTTAACACAGCAGAACCTTGATCTTCCAGATCTGCGAGCAGAAGGACTGGGGCATGCCCTCCCAAATTCACTTCTGCTGACACCCAGTTTAGCTCCAGCCACTGGGGTCTGCAGGTACCCGTGCAGCTGTACCACGGAAAAGGCCACTGAATGCCAGCGGCCCACCAGTCTCCCTGCCACAGGCTCCTTTCACATACTGCTGGCTGGATTTCCATGTGATTTCTCCCTGACCTGGATTACTGGAATAAAAACTAATTGGGCTAATGGGAACAACCGAAAAGGCAAGCGCTGCAAACCCAACCGAGCTTACAGCAGCACTCAGTCCCCTCCTTTGTGCAGGGTGCCAGGCTGCTGAGCTGTGCAGGGTGCCAGGCTGCTGAGCTGTGGGGAGCAGCAGAGGGGGTAATGAGCAGCTCCAGAAGGGAACAGCTTCCACAGCTTCCTCCTGCATGGGTCTCTGCAGAACTCCAACACCCACAGCCTCCAACATTCTTTGACATTTACCCCGTGAAGAGGTACTTAAAACCCATTGCCCTGCTCAAGCTTTGGCTTCTCCTCCCCAGCACAGTCCTCCTCTCAGCAGAGCAGAGCTGGGCACACTTACATTTGTGTCACAGAACCCCACAGTGCAAGGCTTGCCCTTGCGCAGGAACAGGAACTGGTCGTTGGCATCCACGTATGGCGTGCACCTGTCCTGCTCGTCCCGGCAGCACACCTTGCAGGAATTATCTGTTTCTGAAATAGAGCAGCAAACTCATTCCTTGGAAGCACAGAGTCACCTGCAACCCACAATCCTCGTGTCCCCTGGCTGAGCATAGTCCTGAACAGCTGCCCCACAGGGAAAGCAGGACCAAGCCGCCCAGTTTTGGGCACTCTGACAAGCCTAAAACTCAACAACATGCCCTGTGCAACATATTGAGGGGTACAGTGGGACCAAGTTCTCCAAGCTGATACCCCAAAACTGCACAAATCAACAGGCCAATGAAGAGGTTCAACCACATCCAGAAAGACAAATTTAAATATTTCTTGGGCTCTGAGTCCTCTACGCACCTGTCTCCTCAGCTATGCCCTCCATCTCAAATGATGGGGCTCACAGCAGTTCCTTGTGTTGCCCCTGTGAAGTTTTCATCCTACTCCCAGCTGCTTTTCCACATTTAGGGGATAAAATGAACAGCAAAGGAGCAGGAAAAATCACTGGCAGAAGTATATGGCAGGCAGGTTAGCAGGGGAATTAAGTTGGGCATTCTATATTCTCAAGGCACTTTAATGTCTCTGAAATCTTTCTTTAACCCCTTGCTGGAGGCCACTACTCCTCTGCCAGATCCAGAGATTGGTTGAAACCTCCTTACAATCCCTTCTTCTCCATCTGTGGTAGAGCTGGAAGGTAGGAGTGTCCTCTCCTTTAGATGGAGTGTCAGAGCCTAAGTCTCATCTTAATGTCTTCAACCCAAACCACCAGAAGACAGGAGGACATTCACATTCCCTTTTTAAAAAGAGAACACCTGACAAAACCCAACAGTTTAAACTTTTCCAGAAACCACAAACTCAGCCATCCACCAGGCCAGCCCACAGTGAAGCCAGCGTCTCCCAGGAGCAGAGATGAAATACAAATTTCAGTCCCAGCCCCGTTTCAGTTCCCTCTGTGTCACCCACCATTGCATGCACACGACCGCAGGTTCTTCTCCCTCTCGCAGAAAGGGACGCACTCCCCATCCTTGCACTTCCCCATGTCCACGCACACTGTGTCATCCGGAGCGTTCCCTGGAGGGGGACACTCGCTGCTGTTCCCTGCAGATGGAAGTCAGCAGAGTGGGAGGACTGTGTTAGAGCAAAGGGCAGAGAACCTAAGTGTGCAGAAGAAAGAAGGAAAATAATGGAAATACAGACTTATCCCAGGAAAACCCCAATAGCTTGTTCTTGCCTTTCAACTGCAGGCTGCCTGCCAGCTGCAGAGAGGCAGCAGCAGCTCTGGAGGCTTTCAACAGCCTGGGCATTATGGCACTGGCAACCAAGCAGTAGGTGCAGACCCTGGGGCCCCCCCTGGCAAAGCACACGCTGACTTGACTCCCTGTCTCCAAGAAAGCCTATGAGGAGGACGTAAACAAGTGGGGAAGTGAAGCAGAGCTGCAGCAATTCCACCTTTTCTATGCAAAATTCATTCTTGTTCCCTCCCAGGGACACACTCTGTTTTGCCTTTTTTTTTTTTTTTTTTTTTTTTTCTTTTAAGGGAAAGAAACAAAAAACTTTTAAAAATCAACCTTTTTTATGTTCTTCTGGTCAATAAATCACAAAGTGACTCTTGAACTACAATGAAACTCATTATAGGAGAATATTGTGATGCTTAACTGGTCACTAAAATTACATGTACCGGATGACTAAAGGGCACTAGACTGAAAGTGGGTTGAACAGGACACTGAGCCTGAAGCACTTGGCTAGCTGACATACAGGGGACAGAACCACATCCTACCAGTGCAAAAAGACTCTCCTTTACAAGTGGCATTTATGGCTTCCTGGCATTTCTTTTGTGCACTTTCAAACTGGCAGCCTTTACAGCAAGGACTGTTTCGGTCACTGGGGAAAGATCAAAATGAAAGAAATAAATATTAACCATTTTTTTTTAAATAAGTACTAGTGTGACAAAGCCAGAGAAAAAAGATGTTTAGGAAATAAAAAGCTACTTCTTGGAGACAGACTCATTGATTCAACCCTTGTCCTCTCTGCCCCCTCCCACAACCACCTTTCTACATACATACTCACTCTTCATGTACTGAAGGTCAAATCACATAGAAAGTACAGAATATTGAGAGATAACAGAGGGACCCTTGTATTTATTCATGGCACATGGATCAACCTCTTGTAACCTGCTGTGTAACTTAGGACAAGATCTTTTACCCTTTCCTTCCCCAAACATTTCTCCCCCTTCTGTTTGCCCTGAAGGTTTCCTGCTTTGTATTCTGTATTGTCTTTACTTTCATTTTCTCACCTAATACATGAAGGCCCTTAGTACAAAAGCACTTATTAAAATGCATGGATTTTCTTGCTGAACAACAGGAATTGCACAAGCTCTCTAATGCTACATGGTGTAGAGCTGAACTATGAAAAAAAAAGATTGGACACTGCATTGCCACAAGGCCATGAACACCCCAAAAAGCAACAACAGAAAGAGGAGTCATTCAGTGCAGTCACTGTATTGTCTGCTCAAACACATTTTGCAGCAGTCTGGAATTACCAGTATGTACCAGTGTAAAAAGCCACCTTCCAACACAAACAAAACTTGTATTTGCACAGAAAGTGTGTGCAGGAATTTTTTTGATTCTTTTTGATTGCCTAAGTTTGCTTAATAATAATAACGGTAACAACGACAACACAATAATAATTTGCAAGATTTGACTTGTGGCTCTTGACACTTCTCAGAAAAACAAACAAAATGCTATAAAAATTAATGCATGCACACAGAAGTGTCTCATGAAATCTTTCACTGTTGTGAGCTCACTCATTCAGCCTTAAAGCCAGGAAAAGGGCCTGTGACAGTGCAGGTGGCTTTAGGAGTTTTCAGCCTGGCCCAACATTCTCTCCTGTGTAAAGAGAAGCTGCGGCTCATTCCCCCTTACCTGCACTTGGCACCATCTTTCAGTTTACAGTCTGCAGAGCAGCAGGGATCAGCCAGCTGGTACAAGAGGCCAGGATCACATTCCTCGCCTTCATCCACTCTGGAGTTCCCACACACTTTGTTGTTGCGCTCTTTGAAGCACTCCTGGGCCTTGACCTCAATGGTCCTATGGATGGATTTTTTGCTGCAGCTTGAGAACATCTAGAGAGTCACAGAGGAAAAAAGCAGCACTGAGTGTACCTTTCTGTCAACAACTGGCATCTAAGACAGCCACAGCCTCCCTATGTCCCTGAGCTCTGGCATTCCAGAAAGCTGTTATTCTCTTTGTACTGTCAGTCTGATACCTTGGAAAAACTTTCAGATGGGACAGTAACAGCTGGGTCAGTAACAGACACTGCTGCACACTGAGGGACTCCCCCACGCAGTCTGGCTCAGAGACAACTGCAGCTCTCCCACGGCTTCAGCAGCCCCAGGACGGGATGTGAAGCTGCAGCAGGAGGCACAGACTGCGCTGCCCCTGGGCAGAGGGGCTGGGCACAGGCACAGGCCAGGGCAGACTGCAGGCCATCCCCTGCTAATGTGGGTTTCTCATCTGTAGAACAGGCTCAGTGCCAACTCCACACTGCCAGGGCAAGCTTCCACCACGGCTGTGGCACCTGGCAGCCCCTCTCCAACAGCAGCTATGGACCAGCCCAGCGCTGTGTGGTACTGAAGGTGATGGATTTGACTCTTGCTGGGACTTGCTTGTAGCAGCATATGGCCACAGCTAATTACAAACAACTAATTAAAATGCACCTTGACATGCTATGAACTCCAGTGAAACCCAGATTACAAAGATGAACTTATCTTGCAGAGAACCCAGCTGCATGCAAATGTTTTCTTATGGCTAATCCATTACATTCTGGTGGTTTCAAACTACAGGAATCATTAACTAAATAGATTTGCCATGCAAAGGGTCACTGACCATAGCAGAAACTTTTGTGTTGATGCAAAACTAAATAACCATACCTTGTTGTTTTCATGATCCCCACTGACAGCAATAGGATACATGACATATTTCCCACCCTGGTCTTCAGTGGGGGCACACTCTGGCAGACTGTCAGGATCATGCTCTGCTCCAAAGTTATGTCCAAGTTCATGTGTTGTAACCAGGTCAGCCTCCTTTTTTTGAACATGAAAAAAACAATGTTGGAAAAAATCAGTCTGACTAGTAGAGGACAGAAGATCCCAGGTACTTCTAGGCCACCAGAAATTCTAAAATACACCAAAATGATAGGGAATTTCCTATGAACATTTTTCTGGTTTTCTGGAGAAATTAAGGTAAATAAAATTGTGGTCCTTTTCAAAGTTAAGTTCAAGGACCAGATTTGAACATTAAATCACTGTTTAAAGCAAAATACTGTCCTAGAATACCAATTCACTTGTTTTCAAGGCAATGCAGATGCTTAAATATGAAAATTTGCTTCTGTGTAGCTGGAAGGCATAAAAAGTTAAAACAAAACCCAATCCAAACAAACACCAGCTACTACCATTAGTCAATCTCTTGTTTAACCTATCTTGCCATTAGAATTATTTCTTCTAAATGGACGATGACATAAGGAATGCTGAATAAACTCCACTACTGCATGATTTCTAGGAAAGACACCTACAATTGTGGCCCAACAGGGATGGATTTCCCACACCACTTACGCGAGACACGCCTGCCTGTGCTGAGGAGCCCAAACCGGCTCTGCTCGCTGCGCGCCTCCCACGGCGCCTTCCCCTGCAGATGGTGTCACGCTCACAAGGTGGCCACGGCAAATTAAACTCACACAGAAAGGAAGATAACCACAGGGAGACTGGGCAGCTCCGGAGAGGAGCTGTCACTGCAGCTGCTGGGAAGGACCAAGAGCTGCCATGAGCTGCCCCAGTCCGTGTCTCAGCATGGCTAACGGGGGAGCCAGAGACAGGAGAGCTGCCCAGGTGTCCCTCCTGGGCTTCACTGTGTTTCATTTGGAAAACAGTTTTAAGGAGGTTGTTTTGGTTTTTTTAAGCCAAAGTGGAAACCATGCAGCACCTTCCCTGTGAAATCAATGTGAACCATCATCCCAAGCCCTAAGCCTGCCACTGGAAGACAGAAAACTAAACCTCCTTTGTACTATAAGTCAGAACTCCAGTCGGGAGATTGAACAAATGCAAATAGCATGGCAACAGCTATTGCGAGAGCTCTCTGTCAACATCCCTCTGACACAAAGCTTTACTGTCTTTTTTCCCTATCTTCTTGACAGTTTCTGTGCCAAGTTTTAGCCCACATATCAATTATAAATTCCTATTATTATAATCATGCTACAGAAAAGCACAGCTGAGAAGCCAGCAGAAGTCAGCAAAAGCCAAATATGCCAAACTTCAAAGATTTAATATAGGCAGACACAGGCACTGCTCTGGTGTCTTCACAAGTGAGACAACGCTCATATTCAGACCTTTGTGCATTTACTATCTCATAAATGATGGAAAAAAATCCAGGAAGCATCAATTTACATTAAGCTCAGTATTAGCACTAATAAGCCCTGTCTACTATACTGTTCTCTGCGCTAGTTACTCAGGACACAAAAAAATCAGGTGGAAGAATTTCATTAAAAGGCTCAAACTAAACCTCCTACTTTGCCTGCTTGTTCTGTTTGAGGGTTTGTTTTGTTAAGAGTTTTGTTGTTTGTTTGGGGATTTTTTGTTAAAACAAAACACATATAAATTCATCTTTAAACATCAAAAGCCTGTTTATATCTAGGAAATTACAGCTCCTATGAGACACTAGCTGTTCCTATTCCTGTTTCACAGTGAGTTCAATTTTCAGTTCCATTCAGTCCTGTCTCCCCCTGTCAGCTGCAACAAAAAAGATTATTTTTGTTTTATGATCTCTATCCTTGTCCCCAGAGATCTCACTCAAATGGAAAGCCAGCAGCTCTTTTCTGAGCGAGCACAGGAGCTTGTCACAATCCCATGGCACACACCACCAGCACACATGTATGACGAGGATACTCTTCTACCTTTGTGAGGATGGTCTTCCCATAGTTCTTGGTGCTGGTCAGGCCACTGTTCAGATAGATATCCTTCTTTGCAATTTGACTGTAATAAGCTGAAAGAGTGAGAAATAAACAAATTAAAATTGAGAAACATTCTTCTTGAATTTCAGGGTACTTTTGGGAAGAGAGGGATACTTGTCTGGGGAAATGAACAGCTTTACAGCTTTATTGTTCTCACAGGCTCACTAGTGAGACCTTGCCAGTTTTTGGCATTGGGAATCTTTCAAGCACAGCTCCAACAGCTCATGTATTGCAGTAAAGGCAAACCAGCAGAAATTTCCAAGACAACAGCATCTGCCATTCCAGAACTGCTGCAGGATGTGCCCACACAAAGCAGCCCTTAGAACTGGGCTTTTTCTATACAGCCTGTTCACACCAGATAGCTTAGTGACTTTGTTTAGTGACTTTGTTTAGAGACTTTTATCCTTCCCCCTTTCTCCAGCTTCAGCCAAAAAAAACAGCCATCCCTTCTATGGAAAAAACCAGCTCCTAGAGTGTGTGCACATAACACAAAATACTCCATGAAAGTTGGAGAAAAGAATTAAACATGAATAATAAAAACTAGCTTCCAAACCACAACTGGGAGAGAAGGAAAAGAAGCCTTGCCTTTAGGACAAATGCCACCATGGCTGTTAGGTCTGGGAGAGCCAACATAAGCCAGTCCAAGCGTTCCCATGTCAAAATCTTGGTACGTGAAGAGATGAGCAAGGCACACGTGAGCTGCTTTCTCTGCAATATCAAAGCTAAATTGCTTTAAAAAAAAAAAAAAAGAAAAAAATAGTCAAATCCCTGTTAGCTTACAGTTAGAAATCTGTAGATATTAATATTTATTTAATGTGCCAGACGAGTAGCTCCTAGATCAGGTTAAGTCAGAAAACAGCAGCTGTTTAGCAGTCCTGCAGAGCTGCAGGAAATTAAACTAATGCCCAAACACACTGTACACATTCATTTACATAACTTGTCTATTCATTTTCCCTTTTCACAGGGAGGACAAAGCCAAGTACAATAACTTGATGAAGGTCACAAGGCAGCCAGTCTCAGGGCCAGACATATCAGGACTGCCTGACTCAGACCACATTAATAAGACTAATTGATGTCTGCTCTGTAATTATGCAAGGGAGCCCTTTACCAAGGGCTACAGGGCACAGCAGCTGGTTTGACTTTATGTGACATCTAACATCATGTACAGGGAGCAGAGGGCTTTCACCCATTACTACAGAGCAGCCATATAAATGAGCAATTTTCTGTTAAGGGGCACAGTTTTTCAAGGGTTACAACCTACCTCTAGCAGCATTTTCACATCCCAGGCATCTTTCTTATCATCTGGGTAACTTCTTGCCATATTATAATGTTTTTCTCCAGGTTTTACAGGATTTGGCTCATTGTGGATGATAATCTACATGTTAAAAAGGGCAACAACAATGAACAGGAATTTTTGTCAATTTTATAGCTACAGAAAAGGTTTCAATGTAATTTTAAATATCCCAATAGATCTGTAAGGACAAAAATGCAGACTCAGCATGATTCTAATATTAACTTTCCAGCCTCTGCTAGTTAAATACACCAACTAAATCATAATTACATTGTAAGTAACCCTTTTACAGGATAACATCAGAAGTTTTTACTGTTAAATTCTGCTTTGAGATGCCTTTTACTTGTAGAAAAACCCCAGACAAATACAACCAGTATAAATAACCCCAAATAATTTCAGAGCTTGAGTTAACCAAAATGTATGTTAAAGAACTGCCACTTGCCCAGGAATCCAGAATTAGCTCATCATGTTCTCTACCCCCTCCCTGCCCAAGTAATGCTCCTTCTTTATGCCTGCAGATCTTTTCCCAGCCAAGTACAGCTGGCTTGTACCATTAGTCTCCATGTCCCACACCACAGCTCTTGCAGTACACTGAGCTGATGGAGTTCTCCTGTTTTTTATGCTGTTTTCCAGATTTCTGTGCACTTCAAGACACCATCAGAGAAACTGAGGTCACAACATTCCCTGTGTCCATATACAAGCCTCTACACTAGCACGATGTCTAAGGCAGTCAATAAAGCTCTTCAGGCAAGATTGTTTTCACCTGGGTTTGAGGCCCACTCAGGCTTTGTAAGCCAAGAACTAGCAACAGATATAGAAAATAAATGCATGAGTATGTCTGAATGAAACAGAATTTGCTCATATTCAGGTGAAAAATGTACTTTTGAACCAGGAATAAATACAGAAATTCGCATCCCAAACACTACAAGGAACTGAAAATGGGCATCATGTCAGATCATTAACAATGGCAAGATGCAATTTCAGAATGCTCCTGGCTGGAGTGAATGATGCAGGATTTCATTATTTTAGCTCTAACCCAGACAAAATAATAGGAAGGTCTGCTGTTTAAACGATGTTCCTTTAAGCTGGAAGCCCTCTGCAGAGGACAGTGAATACCTGCTCTATCTGTATGCCGTACCCATTGAAGGTTCCATCGTCCCAGGACGTGTTTCGGTAGATGTCATCTACTCTGTCTATCAATTCAATCTGTGTGGAAGAGAAAACAAGTTACCCAAGTGAGCTTTCACAGAGAAAAAGACATTCAGAGAAACTGCTACACACTTACCTAGAAACAGTCACTTGAATTAAAATTGAGCCCCGTGTAAGGTAACAAGACAAACTCCCTAGCACTGTTGGTTTTGGATCGGTATTATCCAAGATACTTGAAAATTTTCCATCATAAAAAAGTAGCACAAACTTTTCCATTTATCACTTTTGTTTGTGTAGCAGAATAGCAATAATATTAAGAACAAGACATTTTGGGAAACACTTTGTTCAAACACTAATTTTCCAGATTTCTTTGAGGGGAAAGGCAGAGAAGGGAGCTGTTTTAACTGCTTTGTTTCAGCATGGTGCTTAACTAGTTTAACTGACCCCCCAGGCTTGCTTCCCTCACCAGCCAAAAACCTATTATTTTCCTCATTATGGTTCAAGCACAAGGTTCCAGAAAGTCTCTTGTCAGTGCTCACAATCAATACCTCCCTTTTCAAGCTGTTCTCTTAAAAAAACACCTTCTACTAAATATAATCCACCAAACTTGCTGAGAAGGAGAAATGGCATTCAGAACCACTCAGTAATAGTTTATGTTTTAGTTTTCCAATCACTGTGTTCTTAACAATACCCGTCTACCCAGGAAACACAACAGGGGTCAGCCTCAGCACATGTCAGATGCTGAGATAAGAGCACTTCTGCAAACACACCGAATGTGGCCCCCTCACCTGGGGAATGTAAAAGCATTTCTGGGGACAGAAAGGTCAAAAAGCCAGCAAAAGTGGAACAGAGTGATTAGCATTTAAAAGAGTAAAGCTCAGAAAGAGACTTTAGACAAACAACAGGCCTCCAAACCCCCATACTCTCCCCTTCTGCTGAAAGGGAGAAGGACCTTGTTCTAGTTCACAAAAATCTGTCAGACAACCCCAGTGTTTCAGCTGGGTCACTCAGTAATTGGTACACACAATGGAGCCCTGCTTCCCCGAGGATGGCTGAACACCTGCCTGCTGATGAGAAGCAGTGAATTAATTCCCTTGTTTTGCTTTGCTGCTGTGAACAGCTTTTGCTATTAAACTGTTTCTATCTCAACCTACAAGTTATCTCACCTTTACCCTTCTGATTCTCTCCCCATTCCATCTGAGAGGAGAGAGCAAGTGGCTGCCTGAGGCTGAGCTGCCTGCTGGGGTTAATCCACACCACCAGTGTACAACCAAACAAGTTGTTCACTGGGCCTGCTTCTAATTTATTGTTCTGGACAGAAAATCCTGAAAGAATCTGGAAAAGAAGATCTAAATGAGTTGCTTTAACTTCTCATTAAACATGCCTGAACTTTAAAGATGCTCAGATCATTTGCAGTGGATTTCAAAACCCAGGAGACTCTAGAGCTCTGACTGAGAAAAGAGAAGTTCCTGGGCAAAAAACGGCTTAGCTAACAGAAGTATATGACAGGAAGGAATTTGCTTTTAAGTGAAATTTGAAGACTACTGAACTACATTAGCTTCATTGTAGAATATTTTTAAAGCATGATTTAGCACTTTTCCAGGTAAAAGCCGTGTGTACAAAAGCAGTATAAGCTGTATGGTGCTTTAACTACTGCATCAGTGTGTTTTCCTGCATCTATTCCAGCACATTTTAGCAGGCTACAGTTACTTACCAAGTAGTTTATAGTGGTGCTCTCTTCCCCACGGCCCATGTACTTGAAGAAACGATGGTCTGCCACTACCAACATCTTGCACGTGTTTTTGGAGTTCTCTGGAGTGGCTCTTTTCTTCCGATGGGTGCTTTCTAAAGTAAATATTTCAACAAACACTCGCCACTGCTGAGCCTACTGTCCTTATTGAAGATTTGAATTTGAGTGTGGGTGGGCTCCTGGGAGGAGAACGGGGATGTTTAGTTTTAGTTTGGGGCTTTTTTAAAATTTTTAATAGCTATTCTTATATTTTTTCTTCCTAACAGTCCTCATACTTACTGTAAGGAAAAGAATGCATGGCAGTGAAACTGACTTATTCATTAGATTTACCTATAGAGTTTTTAAGGTCATTACCACAGCCTTAACACCTCTCCTCCTGTTCCTAGTCATTACCCCAACTTTTGCTGACACGGCAAAGAACAGAGGAAAGTGGGACCAAAAACTCTCAAAACCCCATCACAGCTCAAGATGGATTCCTTGAGTGACCATAGAGGCCAAACAGGTCTCGCTGCACAGTGCACAGAAGTACAAAGTTGTTTAAAGAGGCATGAGGAGTGCTGCTTCCCCCCTCCATCCCCACAATGAATTGAAAGAGCTAATTTTTTCAAAGATGCTGCTTTCCCAAGGTATGGACACCCACCTTCATTTTGTTTCCTGTCTTCCAGTCCTTTTGGCAACAGTTCATCTTCACTCAGCTTTAAATAGCCACATACTTTGGGGGACTGCAACCTTGAGAAATCTTTGATATCTTCAGATCTGTAGACCAGCAGTCTTTCATCTTCCACATCATCTACAAATCTCCACAGTGGCTGACAGCACAAGGAGAAGTTAGGAACACAATGAACCCAAAGTCTAGATAAGTAAAAAACTTTATGTATGCACCATTGTACCTCCACAGTTTTCTGTCTACACACACAAATGCACTTCACCCACAGCAACAAATCTACTGATAAAATGACATCCCCAAGAAAGCCAACAGAAGTCAACTCTCTTATGCTACATGGGAGTCCAAAAGTCTAAGAGCATCTTAACAAAGTAGTGGCAGCTACCTGACAAGGCCATAGGAGAGAATTTTTCTTCTCCTCAGAATCTGAACAAGCTGAAGAGGCTTCTCAGGTTCCTCTGCTCCCCTCTGTAACAGCATGGAGCCAGAAGGATATCTTTAACTGCTAACAAATGCACTGACCAGAAGCACAGGAGGAAGCAGGTAACAGAGAGTCTTCAAGCACACAGCGCAATGTGGGCTCTTTGATGTTTAAAAGCTACCCAAGTCACTCACAAGCATATAAGTTTCTCCAAAACCAAAGAAGACCATGAAATCTCAAGAAAAGACACCAATTCCCACAGCAGATGCATACAAATAATCTTTTTACTTTAGTGACAAGTCCTATTCTTATCTGAATGTTAAAGCTAAAGCAACACCCCCAATATGACATAGACAGGGTCAGCTCTTTGGCCAGAGCCAAGCAGCAGAGACTGCCTGCATCCACAACACAGTGCACCTGGCTCTGGGTCTCCTCTGGCCCCTAGGCAGGGCTCTTCCAACTTCAGCCAGCCATCATTCAGCACACTGTGCTTTCACTTCACAGCAAAAAGGTCACAGAATGTGAAGATTGTGCCATGTCAGCAGCCACATGTCTGCAGCACAAAACTGAAGGCTTCACACACTAAGGCAAGGTGTGAGGGCACCAGTGGTTTACACAAAGGCCCACAGCCTTTCCAAACCATACACAGCTACCTTGAACAGAGAAGCAGGGAATGGCAGAGCAGCTTTGTCCATGCTGCCTTTGGGGAACAGACCAGGCATGCTCCCTCTGTGACTGAGCACAGGAATCATCTCACCAGGGCAGTCAGAGGCCAAGGCTGACCTGGGGACACCAGCGAGGCAGCAGGGCAAGCCAGAGGCTGCACACCACTGCCTGCCCCCCGCTGCACTGACACAGCCAGCCAGGAGCAGGGCCTTGGCCGCGCGGAGAGACAAGGCACACCCACAACTGCTCTGGAGCACAAACACAAGAACGCTTTACATCACATGCAAACAGATACTGTATGTTCTCAATGTAAAACACAAGTACAGAGACTTGGGGATTTTGATCACATTTTTATACTTTAACATGACTAGATTTCTCAGGTTTACCCACAATTCTGCGTATCTTTGGGTTTGGAGACAATTACAATATCCATATAACACTCAGCCATAATTACTGTTATTCAGCCATTCAAATACTGCTTGTGTCTGGGAATATACTGCACTGAACATCTCATTATGACAGTCTCTAATTATCTATTTGTTGAATATTTTTTTTAACCAAGAGTTCAAAATAACACAAGCAAGTAAAATGGTGAAAAACAAGGGAGTAGGGAAAAATAACTAATTTTCAGATAAAATATCAGATTTTCAATGAAGCTCTAAGAATGGGAAAACTTCCAAGATGTAACAAAGCCAGTTTTAAAGAGCTTCACAGATGTTGACTCTGTTTAGACTGCCACAGTTTGTTAGAGGCCATGATCACCACTAATTTCTGACATTATCCATTCCTGTTTCTGAAACCCCTTCCTGTTTAAAATATACCTTCTCCCTGATGTACCTAAAACATGCAACTATCAGAGAATGTCACTCACTAATAAAAGTCAATACTTGCAAGCCAAATTGGTTTCTTATTTCTCTCCCTCCTCACTCCAAAAACAAGCACTACCACCAAATCTAGTTTGAGCTACAGAAGTGTCAACATAACTAACAAGGAAGAGGAACACCCAGAGGAAAAGAAGGTGATTGTCTGGATACAGTTTTCCACAGCAAAGCATACCTCAATATTGTATTCTTCTCCATCAGTATTGATTCGCACTGTAAAATCTTCATCCCCAATATGTGCCACAACCTTGGAATTATGCTCTCCTTTAACATAAACATGGAAGCATTAAATTAATTCAGCTGTTTGCATGTGCTCCTGCACAGACACTGTTTGTTGGAGGTTTTTAATGATTTCTAAACTTCATGACAAATTACCTTCCTCAGTCTCTGTACTGTTCAATTTAAAGAAAAAAACCAAAATCAATCAGCATTTCCCCCGAGTCTTAACTTCCCAATAGTCACAGTCAACGAGACTCAGATTTAACAGAAAATGTTGCAGGAAGTGTTGAGATGGCTCTGGGAATTAGTAATGGGGGACACAATATTTCTGCCAACAAAAGCAGCATGCATCTAACTACTATCAGACAGCAATTTCATGGCGTCAGCCTGCATTCCAGTGGAAAAGTCTCACCACATCACAAAGGCAACAAAGAAATCAAAACAACTTAGCAGAAGCATTAGTACTGCATGAAAGTGGAGCATGGCATCTTTCTTTACAGAAAAGTAATCTACAAAGAACTATCTTTAAGTCTTTTAATTGAACAGGGCATTACTGCATCACCTCTACCTTTGATTTGTGTTCTGGAGCAAGGAACATTCAAGTCCTACATTCCAGCTGGAATTAAAGCCACCATCAGCATTTAAAAAAAATAATAATTTGCAAGCTGCTGCTTAAGTAAATTATACCTTTGTGTCCTGCCAAACTGAACACAAGAGTCCCGTCTTAAGAGCTTGATGCAATACACCCCACCACCTACCAAACCTAAAAAAATCCCCAAACACCACAAAAACAAAACCAGAAAACGCAAGAGGATAAGAATTATGTTTATTTCTTCATCCTAACCACATCTGATGAAAATGAGGGAAATACACCATTTACTCTGCCCAAGAGACCCGAGCAAAGCTGTGGTTTCTCAGCACTGACCCACAGTCTACTCCATACTAACCAACGACATGTCCGGTGAAAAAGTCTCGCCATTGAACACGGTACTCCTTTTCCTTGCCTTCACCATCCACAATTAATGCTTGAAATTTTTCTGAAAAGTGTTCAGCAGTTGCAGTTAAGTATAATTTAAAGTGCCTGTAAAAGAATTTACTTGCATTTATTTTTAGGCAAAGTATACATATAACAAATACATTCAAATCTCCATTTTATTGAGGGTCCAAAAGAAGTTCAAAAGCATTAACTCTGATAAGCACACTACAAAAACATACACTGTGTAATTGACAACAGTAAATATTTTAGAGTCACAGATGTTTAATTAAAAAAAAAGTTAAAAAAATAATCCCCCAAATCTAAAACAGTCAGAGTTTGCCCATGATGTGCCTTCTCCATTTGCAGTTAAGCAAAACCAGTTACTGGTAACCATTTAAATAAATAAATAATCAGACCACGAAATTTCTTCATCTATTTGAAATTAAATTATCTTGAAGTTCTTACTTTCTGACATAATACAGGCAGAAGACCATAAACAGAAATCTGAACTCCCTACATTTTTTACAATATACTGTCACAAAAACTGAAAACTATACCAAGAAATAAGCTGATAACCTTTTCTGGAAGAAGCCTCATGGGCTCTTGGTTTATGTGGGCTTTGAGTCAAAGATTTTTGGCATGCTCCTCTGTAATTACTCTGTAATTGTCATTGGCAACCTCACCCTAAAGCAGCATGCATGAGGCAGTGCAAAACAGGGACAGTCAGACATCTGATCCCATTAACCTTTCATAATTGCCCCTCCAAACTCAAAAAAATGCCCTTTCAAACATTCAGAGATTCAAAATTTATGCATAACTTGCATGACAGTTGAAGATGACACGGGGAAGGCACATGAATACACAGAGGACAGAAGATGTCAGACAAACAAAACTCAATCTACATTTGTTAATACAAAGTGTTATTCTGACCCTGCTCCCCATTTCAGATTCACAATTTCAGCACCAAAATACCTGCAAGGCATTTTTCTGACTCTCAGAATAAAGTCCCTGCAATCTTCATGCCTGCTCCCTTCTATTTCTCCTCCTCCTTTGACCTGAGCTTTTATTTCCCATCTTATAACAAAAACCAAAAATGAAAACCAAACCAAACAAAATATGAAAATAATTTAAAGTATTGAAAGTATTTGAAAGTATTTTACTATGAAAGTATTTTATTTAATGGGACATTTATACTCAGTAA